CTGGGAGCACTGGGGGGAACTGGGAAGGGACTGGGAGCACTGGGGGGAACTGGGAAGGGACTGGGAGCACTGGGGGGTACTGGGAAGGGACTGGGAGCACTGGGGGGTACTGGGAAGGGACTGGGGGGCACTGGGAACACTGGGGGGCACTGGGAAAGGACTGGGAGGGACTGGGAACACTGGGGGGCACTGGAAGGAAAACTGGAGGAGGACTGGGGGGAAAATTGGGGGTGGCACTGGGGACAGTAGGAAGGTACTGGGGGATACTGGGGGGCACTGGGGGTACATTGGGGGGATATTGGAAGCACTGGGGGGACACTGGGCTGTACTGGGTCATACTGGGGAGCTCACCTGAGGTGGGGCAGGGTGGCCTGGGGACACTGGGGGGACACTGGGACATTGGGCCACAGGTGACACTGGGAGGACCGTGGGGTGAACTGGGCCATACTGGGCCATACTGGGGGGCTCACCTGAGGTGGTGCAGCGTGGCCAGGCCCCGCTCGGTGACCTGGGGACACCGGGCCAGCCCCAGGTGCCTCAGGGTGTCCCCAAACACGTGGAGCCGCCCCAGGGTCCAGTCACAGACGTGGGGACACCCCGAGAGCTCCAGGTGGGACAGATGGGACAGGGACACTGCGGACAGGGGGACACAGGGGTCACCAGGGGGTCACAGGGGTCACCAGCTGGGACAGGGACACTGCGGACAGGGGGACACAGGGGGGACAGGGGTCACCAGGGGGTCACCAGGGGTCACCAGGGGGTCATCAGGGGGGACAGCTGGGACAGGGACACTGCGGACAGGGGGACACAGGGGGGACAGGGGTCACCAGGGGTCACCAGGGGTCACCAGTAACCCCCAGTGTCACCAGGTGGGACAGCTGGGACAGGGACACTGCGGACAGGGGACAAGGGTCACCAGGGGGTCACCAGGGGTCACCAAGTGTCCCCAGGTGGGACAGGGACACTGGGGAGGGACAGGACAGGGGTCACCAGGGGGATCCCCCAGTGGCCCCCGGTGTGTCCCCAGTGGCCAGGGGGGTCCCCAGGTGGGACAGG